TGCTAAGGTCTCGGTAGTCTAAAGGCTCAGGACGCTCACACGGAATGTAAGAGATCCGGGTTCGACTCCCGGCCGAGGCAATATTTTTCGCAATAAGTTTATTACAGTTTTTTAAGATTTGGGAGAATTTGGGGGGATTATTTGTTTCAGATTGATTGTGTGAATCCGATAAATTCATCGGCTCTCAATTTATTTCTGAAATATTAATTCAATTTAATTGAATGGATATTAGATAGTAGTTCAACATCTTAACACTCGACCGAAGAGGCGCTTTGTATTTAAAGTCTTAATACAATAAAATTGTCTACAAATAAAAAATAAAATAAATAAAAAATAAATATATAAACACACACGCGCGCGCACGCACGCATATATTGTATACAGAGGATGAGTTTGATAAAAAGTCCACGTTTTCCTCGAAAAAGGTTACAGATGGGGGAAAGATACTTATTATCAAAATTGTAGAATAAGTAGGAGAGCACATATTTTGATGACTTTAAATAACCTTCCTTAAGTCCTTGGTTTTCATACTACCAATAAAATTTTTTTTTTAATAGGAAAGATATTTTTTATTCTTTCGATCGATAGTGCCCAATGAGCTGAATAATTATATAATACATTAGAATATCCTTTCCAAAAGTTTAACTATTGTGGATACAAACCAAAAGTAGTCAGACATTATGTTGATCTGAACATGCCTGTAGTCTTTGTGAAAAGTTTGCTTGGCCTTCTTCTAACTCTTGAATCGTTATTTCGCAAAAAATATTTTTTATTCTTTCTTTTATGTTTTCCGAAGTAGTAGAACATTAAAAGTAAGCTAACTCCTTCACTCTTCCTCAAAGATAATAGTCCAAACGTGTTAAATCGAGTGGAATACACACAGGGAATAACACAAGATCACCTCTACTAATCCATTTGTTTGGAAATATTCTGTTGAGCTCTCGTCTCGTATTTACAACAAAGTGGAGTGATGCACTATTTATCTAACTAAAGTCACATTCGAGCCCTATCTATCAGCGGAATATCTTTCCACAATTTAGAAAATCATTTCTAAGAAAACGAACAAACTTTTCAGACTTTTGTTAAAGATTTCTAAAAAAAGAATGGTCCAATTAATCAATCGCCAATAATTCCTGCCCAAACATTAATACTCCACGTTGTTGACGGTCCACAGTTCTCATCCAGTGTGAGTGACGTCGCTTCAATGCTTATTAATGGTTTCATTACTCTTAAATGTTACTTTATCCGATCACACAAATCGAAAAAAGTCAGGATTTTTTTGTAATTTATTTTGAACTCACAAAACTGGATACTCATGTTAAAATTATTCTGAAAAAGTTCATGGAGTACCGATACAAGATATGGATGGAGCTTATTTTTCCTGAGTATACGTGACACTGAGGATCGGCTAATATTTCTATCGTAAACAATATCTCTTGTAGAGATACATGGATTTATAATAACTGCAGCCAATACGTCAATAGACACATTTTCATTTGTAATAACAACATTTTGCTTTTGTTGTCTTAGCCTTAACAATTCCAATAGTACGTACTCGATTCACCAAACGTGTAAAAACTCCTCTTACGAAATGACGACAGTTTAGAAAGCGTACAAATCAGCCGCTTGCATAGCATTTTGTCTACATTCGTTATAAATCATTAACATATCAAAAACTTCTTCATTCAAATATAACATTTTTTAAGAGAAACTACTCACAGAATACTTCCACCTGTATACTACTCAATTTCAACTCAAATCTTAATAATAGAACGAGAAAATTTTTAAATAACTACAATGCAAGAACTCAATGTTTCCAAACTAACGGATTAGTAGAAGTGGTTCTGTATTATTTACCTTCTTTCACGATTCAAAAGTTAGAAACTTTCCAAAAAGACTACAGGCATATCTCAATCAACATGGTGAATTAAACAGTCTCACTTATTTTGGCTTATATAATGTTAAATTTTCGAAAAGCTACTCTAATACAAAGTTCATCAAGCACTATCGATAGAATGAGTAAAAAAGACCGCTTCTCATTAAGAAAAAAATATTTTTATTGGTAGTAAGAAAACTAAAGACATTTAAGGTACTCAAGATCATCAAAGTATGTCCCTCTACTTATCCTACAATTTTGATAATAGGTATCTTTCTCTAACTGTTTTTAAGAAAAACGTGGTAAACTTTTTTATCAGAGTCACTTTGTATATACAATCTACATATATACAGGGTGTCCCGTAATTCACCACCCGATGCTCGTGGACAGGTAGAGCAGACTAAACTGAGTCGAAAGGTCTTCTACCATTTTGCAATTTGCAATTGAAAATTCTTCTCTGCGCGCACATCTTGACAGTAAACTTACTTTGACAATATTCAAGAATTCTATCTTCCTCACCAATTTTGACGAAATTAGATTTATTCGCTGCGTTTTTCACGAAATGAACGTATCTGGCAAAAAAAAGTGACTCTCTGCCACGTAGATCGAGATATTAATCATTGAAGTTAACGACTATTCAGATTAAGAAATCTATCACATCAATGGTATAAAGACATGAGAACATGTAAGTGAGGCTAGAATAAATATTTTCTGCTTTAATCTCATCAAACCATCATCGTTGAGAAAGATAGAATTCTTGAGTATTACCTTTACTCTCTTTTATATCTTATTTTACTTTTTTCAGTAATATAGATGTCAAGATGCGCGCGCAGAGAAGGATAGATTGCCTCGATATTTTGTTTTTGCCAAACTCAGCATATAGAAAAGTATGTATGGATGTCCATTTTATATGTCTATGATCCCTCAATTATTGACAAAGCGCGCTTTATGTAGATATAGTGGACTAAACTAATAATGAGTCGAAAAGTCCTCCATTTTGCAACTTTCGCAATGGTTAACGAGATATTAATTACTAAAAATAGCAAATATTGGTCTTCCATAATTTTTTACTCAAATACTATCAACTTTACAGAAAACCAGCAAGAGACAAAAATTGTTTATTTTTTTTTTGTTCAAAAGTTGTTTTTCTTTTCATAGAGCTCTAACAATTTTTTCAGAATTTTTTAACAACTTTTTAGTATTGCATTTTTTTATTAACTATTTCTATTAACATAAGAAAATACCTCGGAAAATACGATATTAAAAAATTCTAAAAAAATTCTGAAAAAATTCGCAATAAAATAAATTTATTTTCATTTTTATAGAGGATCCATCTGTATATTAGTTAGACTCTAACAGCTATTTAATTGACTTCGCACTTGTCACTGATATGTCGTGTGAATATTTAATTAGTTTAAATTTAATTGAATATTTAATTAGTTTAAATGTCAGTTTTAATTTATCATTAATTCGACTAATCATGTTGGTACTACAATCTCAATTCCATTTGGTGATAAGTTTAGTCGTTAAAAAAATGTTTTAAATATACTAAGGAGTATATTGTCTCGTTGCAGAGTTGAAAATCACTTGACCTTACAACCAACCATATGAGAGGCATGCACTTGACATTCCGAATTGGAACATGCAAAAATATTAACATTGTATGTAAAAATTTGGCACATTAATGATGGCTCAGGATGAAATCGAAATGTTTTTTCTTTAGTATGTATTATGTATTATATTGAATTAAAATAAAACATTAGGATGAGATTGCGCTCCAATTACCGCGCTTGACTTTTATTGTCAATATATTTCTTCTTATGGTATTTATCTAATTTTTATTAATTTCCGAAAGTTTTGATGCATGAAGAGATAGGCTGTTTAAAATCGGAAATTAATGCATTAAATACATAAATGAAAAGAAAATTTGGTAAAAATTCAGATTAGGAGAGCATCCCCCAATGACCTTGATGTATGTTGTTATGACCCTGAGTGATCTCCAACAAGTTTCAGCCTTATTCTTCATTAAAAAGTTATTAAGAACGGAAAAATAATGTCTTTTCATTATACAGATTTTTTTTACTACATAGAACAAAAATTTCCTACTTAAAAATATATGTTACGACTGTCCACGCGAAGCGACTCCCAACCCACCTTCCTCCCTGCTTGGGGACTTTCACATAAAGCGACTCCCATCCTATCCCCACGTTTCGCGTGGAAGTCGCGCGCTCCCAAACAGGGGGAGGTGATGTGGGAATCGCTTAGCGTGAAAGTACGCTCCTCAAGCAGGGGGGCAGATGGGGTGGAAGTCGCTTGGCATGGAAGTCATATGCCTCTGAAGTAGAGGGAAAGGTGGGGTAAAAGTCGCTTCGCGTGAAGTCATTACGTAAGCAAGGAAAGGTATAGTTTTTAATATTATATATAACAGAAATAGAACGTTGTTTTTCGAATTTTTTTTATTAATAACGAGCGACGGCTAAACCCTTGAAAGTCAATCAGGGTCATGATCTTGACAACATATTGCAAGGTCAAGATCATTGGAGGATGCTCCCCTAATCTGAATTTTTATTGAAAATTTTAATACATATCACTATGTTTGATAATAAGATACCTTGAAACTATGTACCGCTTGAAAAAATTACATTATTAATAACGAAGATCTGACAAACCGCTATTGTGTTTCTGTGCTTATCACATTAATTTTATAAGTTTTTTGTAATAGAAAAATGTATTATATTGTATTAAAATAACGGGGTAAACTTCCGAAAACGACCCATGCCCGATTGCCAAATTTTGCCGAATTTTGGCAAAAATACTCCAAATGACGTCAAATGAATGCTCTTACGTGGAATTTCACCGATAAGAAGGTTTAATGCTAAAAATAAAGTTGTCACCGCCAGAATGAATTACCTTTACATAGCTTACTCTAAATCGCTTCCGAGTAATCTTAATATTGACCTTGATTTCCAAGATCTACTCCACTTTCGTGCACCCCTAGACGGAGAGAGGGGGGGGGGTGGTATGTATCTCATTTCGCGTGGAAAGTCGGACGCCCTTTGACAGAGGGGAAGAGGGAGGTAGAACGAACGTCATTTCGCGTGGACACTCGCCCCTTGGCAGGAATGAAAGTGAGGTGAAAGTCGTTTCGCGTGAAAAGTCGCACGCTCCTTAGTAGAGACCCAGGAAGAAACGCGAGATCGGATAGACATCTATTAAACGTCGAAGGCGTTTATATCTAAAATAACGTTTAAGAATATTATATAATATAATTTTAGACGCCATGTGACTTTGTATTGCTTTTTGATTATTGTGTTTTATTAGACGTGCAAAAACCTATTATTCACAATAGCAGATCTTTGCTTATGAAATACTCTTTTAAATTACAAGCAGGACCGCAATAATTGGAAAATTAACGCCAAAATCTGAAAGCCCTTTTCTTATTCCCTAGTACATAAATGTACTTACTAATTACAAAACAAAAATAAATAATTAAATAATAAAACATTTTTTCCTAAGAAGAAATAAAAATTGGATCGACGTCGATTAATGTCAAACATCTAATCGACGTCTAATTGATTCGATTTATTTCTTCCTGAGCAAATAAAAAGCGTCCCTAGCGTTTCAGCGCCCTAAAATTGCTTTCATGTGCAGCATAACTTGCGTAAGCATAATTTGCGTTTGTGTGACAAACACATAGACGACTTATGCTTACGAGAGCGGTCCGATAAGTACTTAGCCTACAAAAGAAAAACGAAAATTTTGGAAAAGTAGCGATTTATTTCTCAACATAGTCTCCTTTTAGCTCGATACACTTGACCCAGCGATGCTCCAACTTCTTTAACCCGTCTGAAAAATACGTTTTCTCGAGGTCTGCAAAGTAGGCCTCCGTGGCGGCGATGACCTCCTCATTCGACTCAAATTTCTGCCCGGTGAGTGACTTTTTCAAGTTTGGAAACAAAAAGAAGTCGCACGGGGCCAAATCTGGAGAATACGGTGGATGGGGCAGCAGAAATCGCTGCGCGATTTCCCTTCCAAAAACAAGAATCGAATCACTGACCGATATTGCTCTTTTTCCATTTTTCTAAAATCCGCGGACACGCCCGCTTCCACACGCGGTCAAAACAAAACTACAAGTCCGATTCGGCTGAAATTTTGACAGTAGCCGTCTACGAGAATGTACTACACGATAGTAAATTTCTCTTGAGATAGTGGCGCCATTGGGCGGTGAGGCTAAGTACTTATCGGACCGCCCTCGTATAGAATTGTGTTCCAATATACACTGTCAGTACTAAAAATCTATACACGATACGTAACATATATGAATTATGGCTGCGTTCAGCAGAATGTTCATTTTGTAACTGTTGCAAGTTTTCTTTGCATTGATTGGATTATACTTTTAGATCTAAAGGAATAATCCTATCTCAGCAGACAATCATAAAACGATTGCAAAACTGTTGTGTTCTCCTGAACGCAACCATTATATATTTCCTTAATTCTATATCACTGTCGAAGGAACGTCGAAATAACAGCAATAATAAATTCAACAGCAATTTGACATGGTTTCAACATTGAGCGATGCAAATTATAATATTTCTCACTAAGCAATAGCAATATATAGCTATCTTAGTTAAAAATATATAATATGCGTCGATCGACGTCGGAATCATGTCAAATTGACATCGAATTTATGATTTCTATGATTTCGACGTTGTTCAATGTCTTATGTAATTGTACGTACAATAACATAAAACGTCTAGTACATACGTCTATTAGATATGTCTTGTTGATATGTCTATTAAACCTTTTATTAATAGCCTAAAAGATGATATTTCTATTTAGATGCATCTATAGACATACTTTAGACGATCAAATAGACGTCTAAAGTATGTCTATACGAGGTCTATTCAAAAAGTATCGCGAATTTTGAATTTCCGCGGATTACGTATATTCGATTTTCGATTTTTTTGTGGCGTTATGTTGGTACTTATGTCTCTCACTTATGCCGACAAGTTCGGCCATTTTGAATGTTCAGTTAATTTTTGACAGCTGCTTTGCTTGCACGTGTTTTGGCTCGTCTTCGATTTTTGCCTATTCCAAAAAATGGATCAAAGAATCTGTATCAAATTTTGTGTGAAAAACAAAATTAAGTGCGCGGACGCATTCCGAATGTTGACTGTGGCATATGGTGAAGCTACCTTGGACCGAAGCAACGTTTATCGGTGGTACAAAATGTTCTCAGAGGGCCGAGAAGATGTGAACGACGAAGAGCGTGCCGGACGCCCAAGCACGTCAACAACAGACGAAAACATTGATGAAGTGAAGAAAATAGTGGCCAATCGGAACGGTCAATAAGGAATATTACTTGCAAGTTATGCGCAATTTGCGCGAAGCAATCCGCCAGAAACGCCCGGATTTGTGGAAGAACAAAAATTGGCTTTTGCACCATGATAACGCCCCTGCTCACACATCGTTGCTCGCGAATTTTTGACCAAAAACAACACACTAATGATGCCGCAGCCACCGTATTCCCCAGATCTGGCCCCCTGTGACTTTTTCTTATTCCCGAAACTGAAGAGGCCCATAAAAGGACGACGCTACGCTACGATTGAGGAGATAAAGACGGCATCGAAGGAGGAGCTGAACAAGATCACAAAAAATAATTTTTTGAAGTGCTTCGAGGATTGGAAAAAACGTTGGCACAAGTATATAATATCTGATGGGGATTACTTTGAAGGGGACAAAATAGATATTCATGAATAAATAAATAATTTTTGAAAAAACACAAAATTCGCGATACTCTTTGAACAGACCTCGTAGACCAATCTCGTGTTTCTCTCTAGGAAGAGAGGTAAGATGAAAATAAAAAGCTCGTTTTGCATAGAAAGTTGCACGCTTCTTGACAAGAGGGGAGATAGAGTAAAACCATATCCTATACAAACTTTTATAATTTTAAACATTTTTGCATTAAATTTTTGTAATGGAATACAGTAGATATACGTTTAATTTAAATAAAAAAGAAGTTTTTTTTTACGATATATCCTCGTGATTAAAAATGTATCATTTATGAACCTCTACTCCAGCAATACGTAAACATTTTTGATATTTAATAAACAATAATAATAAAGGCATATAAAAGTAAAACGCGGTAATTTGAGCGTATTCAATATTGTATATTATTCCTTTCTAATAAGTATAAAATTTGAACGTTTCATCTCTTTTTTGAGTCTTTATCAGCAAAATGCGTTTACATAAACAATGAGATAAAGTTATTTTATCTAAAATGGAATTCACTCCTTGACTGACAAAGTGAGAGAACTTAAAGCTGATGTTAGAGTTCTGTAAAACATCGTAATAGTACGATTAAATAATCAGAAGAGAAACAATCCTCGATCTTAAAACAAAATAAGAGATGGTGTACTATGATAGGAGAAAGTGCATCGAACAAAGAAAAAAACAGACTAAATTCACAAGATTTTGATCGATTGAGTATATTCTCATTAATAAAGTGTAGTCAAATGGATAAAATATGTATTGCTCGTTCAAATAACAACGCAAAAATGGCGTTAAAATTATAAGTAGGTAATAGAAAAAATAAGAAGAACATAAATAATATATTATATAATATGTATGGTAAGTCAAAATTAAAAACGGTGACAAAAATTGAAAATTAGATAGTAAAAACGTGTATATAAGTCAAATGTTAAAAATGGTGACAATAAAAATATACAATCACGTTCTTAAACTATTTA